TCAGGCCAGAGGGTGCTGTGTAATCTTCCCAGGAAAGGGAAGTTAAAGCAGGCAGCTGAATGTTTAAGGGATTTTCTAAAAAGTTGGAAAACTTTTACGAGTTAAAGGATTTTGCTGAAGAGATGGGGCCGTATTTTGAGGAGGGTGATTCAAGCCAGGGGCCCAGAGATCTAAAAGATCTTCTGGAGGGTCAGGGACAGGGAGTTGGGGGTGCAGGGAAGTATAAGTGGGTGGAGAGGGAGGATTTGTAGTGTGTGTGGACTTTAACTTTTGTTTTAAATCTGTTCTTCCCTAAAGCTAGCTGTTACCCTCCTCTACGTCCTCTTTACAATGTGATCTTCCCATAGTGCCAATAGGACAGTTGTTTTGGATGAGAAAATTTTTTTCAAATAGGAAAGTTTTTCCAATTCAAAGGATCCATCATCTGGCCATTGACCAATACGATATCCAAGAATGTGTTTATTCCAGTAGCAACTGAAACCAATAAACCTTTCCATGGAAAGACTGTGAAATAACTTTCCAGGCTTAGAATAAATCTTTACCCTGGATGCAAAAGGCATCCCTAGAGTGAGTGTAGAAGATGCACCCATATGATCCTAAAAGGTTCACACCCAGAGGTGGCCTAGGAAAGCAAAGACCTTTGCTGTCACCAGCAGTGAGAATTGTGTTTATGGAAATGGTGTCTCTGGTCTCTCGTAAGACATAGGACACCTCCAGCCACAGACCCACCAATCTGTAGCACCAGGGGGGCAACCCTAGGATGGGATATTTCCAGTACTAATAAGACAAAGAAGATTGAGACAGCAAAGGCCCCTTATGGACTGGAACCTCCCCTGGAAGCTGGCATGTTCCAACAAAGAGAATGTTACCTGTCATCACGTGTCTCAGGCTTCTACCCTGTAGGCCGGCCACCTGACACAAAGCAAGCCAACACTTACTCCCCTGAGCTAGTGGGGCCCAGAGAGAACATTCTCACTGGTCACAAAGCCAAGCTTTTAGGACATAAAACAAGTAAAAGAATCTCATCTTGTTTTTGCTTCAGGGACCCATACAAAGATTATCTAAACAGACACCAATCTGGTAAGAAGTGTGCACTCACCAGTCCATGAGGCCAGCTCGAACACAGGACTACAGGCCCTAGACCTGGGTTCCCCTTAGTAGCATATGACACAAAAGATGAAGACAAAGGAAAACAATGACCATCTCTGGGAAGAATGGGATCAAATAGAAAACAAGAATACTTGAAACAGAAAATGCCAAAGTTGCCACACCCAAAGAATGACTTCACACAAATATTTTCTCTGCTAATGTAAGCGTAGAAAGAAAAAAAGAGACTCATCAGTCTTGCTTCAACCAGACCCTGCAGGCAGAGATCTAGGACACTGAAGTGGTAAGAATTTCTACCCTCTGCTGGCTTTTGTCAAAGGTCCCAAGATCTCTCAGCTACAGTAGCCAAGGCAAGCAGTGAAATCCCTTCCTCATCACCAGAACTGTTGGGGAGGAAAAAAATTCTCCTCTACCCTCTAGGATCTCCAATAGGCCTAAGAATGAAACTGACAAGACAGATTAATAGGATAAAAGTATACAAGTTTTATTAAATTTTTAGATGCACATGGAACCCTTCACAAGAAAACGAAGACCCGAAGAAGTTGAACAGAGTAGAAAAGGTTTTATACCTTCTAGTCAAAGCAATGATAACTTTTTGAAGTGATGACCAGGCAAAGGGGTTTGGGGTAGGGACAGTAAATTGTGGGGAAGTGACCAGGAAATATATTGGGAGGGAGATAAAACTAGTGGATGATAAGGGTTGCTTTAGTAAGTTTATACAGATTGATTTTGGTGTTGATTCCCAGTCTCTGGTGTTAAGGATGTTTTTCTCTTCCTTGTACAGGGAGGGCTCCTTTCTATGGGGAATTTTATGGCCTGTTCTTTCATAGAAAAGGGTAGATCAGAGAGCCCTTCCTGCTTATGCTGTTTTTCAAGTGCCTTCAGCTCAAAATAAACAACATGCCAAAGCAGCATATGTTTTTGGGGTGACACGTCCTTAACTTCTTCACTAAATAATCCTAAACTTGAGAGTATGCCTTCTCCCCACTCAGCCATTCCAACCTAAGAATAGGATACAGCCTCCAGCTGGGCAAAACAAAACTAGTACAAGATATTTAACAAAATTTCAGGAAAGCAGAGCCCAAAGAGTCTAACCAAGGCTGCAATTTAGCTGGGCATGGTGGCTCATGACTGTAATCCCAACACTTTGGGAGACTGAGGTGGGAGGATTGCTTTGAGTCCAGGAATCCAAGACCAGTCTGAACAATACAGGGAGACCCCATCTCTACAAAAAAAAAAAAAAAAATTAACTGGGCATGGTGGCTGTCACCTGTGGTCCCAGGTACTTGAGAGGCTAAGGTGGGAGGATCACTTGAGGGTGGGAGGTAGAGGCTACAGTGAGCCATGATTGCAACAATGCATTCCAGTCTGGGTGACAGAGTAAGACCCTGTCTCAAAAAAAAAAAAAAAAAACTAGGCCAGGTGAGGTGGCTCACACCTGTAATCCCAGCACTTTGGGAGGCCAAGGAGAGAGGATCACTTAAGACCAGGAGTTCCAGACAAGCCTGAGCAACATAGCAAGACCCTGTCTTTACAAAAAAATTTTTAAATTACCTGGGTGTGGTAGGCGTGGTCTCAGCTACTTGGAGGCTGAAGCAGGAGGATCACTTGAGCCCAGAAGTTTGACACTAGCCTGGGAAATATGGCAAGACCCCAAAAAATACAAAAATTAGCCAGGTGTGGTGGCGTGCACCTGTAGTCCCAGCTATTTAGGAGGCTGACGTGGAAGGATTGCTGGAGCCTGGGAGGTCAAGGCTGCAGTGAGCCGAGATTGCACCACTGTACTCCAGCCTGGATGGCAGAACGAAACCCTGTCTCAAATAAATAAAGTGGTGTAGGAGACCAGAATATAACATCTGAAATATGGCTGTAGGAGACCAGAATATGCCACCCAAAATATGCCTTTTTGGCACAAGGATTATTTTGAGCAACAGCAAAGGACTAGCTCTGAAAACAAATTACCATCTTGTAAGGAAAATATAAAGGAAAATTCCATGTGTAAGGATGACTTCTCTCTGTACCAGGAGAGGATGACCCTGAATAACAAAAGACTCTTGTCAATGGAGAAGGCACCAACTTAAATCCACATAACAAACCTTACCCTAGTTTACCCATGCTTTCTCTGGTTACCTCTCCATAACTGGCCTTCCCCACACCTGTTTGTTTCAGTGAACTATAGTATATAAGGCTGAATTCAAAGCCACTTCTTTGAGATTGACTCATTTCTCTGTGTATTTCCCATGTATTCCTGAGGTATACATGTTAATCAACCTCTGTTTTTCTCTTGTTAATCTGTCTTTGATTGTAAGAATCTCACTAAGAACTATGAAAGGTAGAGAAAATTATTTTTCCTCCTCTACAATAGAAAGAAGTGAGAACTAGATGAAGATGAAGTAATATAATGACAAATTGTGTCTCTGAAGTAGAAAGCCCAACAAATTGAACAGAAAAATATTCAAGAGAACATCCCTGAAACAAAGAAAAGCGACTCTGCAGAATTAAAGAACACGTTGTGTTTCAAACTACTTCAACATAGAATATTAAATATTAAGACATATCTTGACCTACCTATTGAAATTCAAAAATAAAGAATTCTTCAAGCATTCAGACAAATAACAACACATTATATGCAGGGGACAGGCTGACCTCAGAACTTAATGGCAGAAGACAGTGAACCAATGGCTAATGGAGTGTAACCCAAGGATCTTATGCAAGTAAGTTCCCACACATGGGCAAAGAGGACTCTCCCAGGCAAGAAAAACATCAGGAAACACAGCATCCATGAGCCTCTCTCAGAGAAACTACTTGATGATATCCTGGCAATTAAGAGAAGACTTCGAGAAAGAAATAAAGGAGCAGAAGCCATATAAAAGGTTGTGGTGGGCCGGGCACGGTGGCTTATGCCTGTAATCTCAGCACTTTGGGAGGCCAAGGTGGGTGGATCACCTGAGGTCAGGAGTTCGAGACCAGCCTGACCAACATGGAGAAACCCCGTCTCTACTAAAAATACAAAATTAGGCAGGCATGGTGGCAGGTGCCTGTAATCCCAGCTACTCAGGAGGCTGAGGCAGGAGAATCGCTTGAATCTGGGAGGCGGAGTTTGAGTGAGCCAAGATTGCACCACTGCACTCCAGCCTGGACAACAAGAGCAAAACTCAGTCTCAAAAATAAATAAAAATAAAAACATGAAAGTTGAGAAGAGGGTAACGTGAGGAGAGAAGTATGATAATCCTCATTTTTTTGTGGAAGTCAGTCAATGTATAAAATTGAAATGTGTGATTCACAAAAAAAAAGCATCATTACTTCCGAAATTTCTTAATTTCGGAAAGAACTTTTAAGAGCTAATACTTGTTATACAGAAAAAAAAATTATTTAAAATCTAGCCTATGTAACAAACCTGCACGTTCTGCACATGTATCCCTGCACTAAAGTAAAACAAAAAATTTTTTTAAACTAGCAATTTTTTCTCTTTCCACTTTACTTCATATTTTTTTTCTGTTCCATCCAAATTGTTTCCTCCTATGAAATCCAAGTAAAACTATATTGAATATTGTTTGATAGCAAAGGAGCCTTAACATGTGATGATGTTGCACCCACAGGGTGAGAGAAATGTAGGTGAATATGAAATACTGTTGACCCCCCCATGTGCATTTATTTCATTGTTTTCATTCTATTAAGCCATTGGCTTCAAATTATGCCTTACATGGGTATGTAGATTTGCCATAAAGTTCATAAAATTATACACCAAAAAGGAGTGGGGTTTTTTTTGCATATATTTTACTTTATTAAATCTTACTAATTTCTTTTAGGGACAAGCCAGACAAATAGGCTACAGTGAAGAAATCTTATTTTGGAGAGTTAAGAAACCACTGTGATACTTCCAGGTGTTATCTTCAGTGATGTTTATCTTTATTCAGGGACTCCAGATAATATTCAGCTCCCACAGCTCCCACAAATGCAGCAAATCGCCATTTGAATCCTTGTAATAATGCACCAATAAAGGAACCATTGTTTGCAAAGCCACTCACATATCTCCAAGCTTCCTCACGGCCCCATGGATCCCTTAGCCCTCGTGCAGCCAACTTCTTCTTGACAGTTTCTAATGGTGTCCCCTCTATCTTCCATTGTTTACAATCTGGAAGTTCCATTTTACTGTGTCCATGTTCATGAGCCATGTCTGACAGCAATCTGACCTCTCAGGACACTCAGCTCTGCAACCTGAGCCAACCCGGGTGTGTTTTCTTATACGTAAGTTTACATCGATAAAGTTTATTTAAAAGGTTTTTAAAATGATGCCCCACTGGAGTCTTTATAGAGGATCAGGAAAGAAGTGAAGATGAGAGGGCACAGCTTACCCTCCCCCGTCTCCATTGAATTAACCTGGACAGCTAGACACTAATTTCTTTTACCTAAAGACCTTCAACATAGGGTCTCATAGCTTTAAGGGGCAGGGAAGAACACAGCTGTCATAAGAGTAGATGTCAGTTGACCTGACTATAAACATAAATCGTGTACAGCTGAAGGTGGTGAGGAGGCGGAACGAGCTGACAAAATCATTCCAGTGACGTAAAGGTAAACTAACAACACTTGAGACAAACAATACTTCTACATGACACCCTCATTTCTGCTTTCCAGAGTGGCTTTAACCCAGTCCTTCATGGACACATGGAGATGGTCTCCAGATGGGGTGTGGTGCCTCTGGGTCTGTGAATGGAACCTCATGGGGGCTGGGACAACCCACAGTTGACTCAGCTTCCACAGAGGAATCCCTTAGCTCTGCTCCAGCTACAAGCAGGCCCAAGCGAGGGCGCAACTGGCAGGGGTCCTTCCAGCACAAAACCTTTTCAGTTTTCCTAACAATTACCCGCCTCATGTCTGCAATGTTTTGGCAGCTGCAGGGCCTGTTTTACTCCTCCCTTTCAACTTGCCTGGTTCTTTGAGCCACAGAGGAGACCCAAAACCCTGAAGAACATCCCGGAATGCAAAGCATTTGCAATGAGTCACAGCTGCAGAGGTGCCAGCAAGAGCTGTTCCAGGCTTAAGTAAGACAGGGAAGCGGGGAGAGAGGTCAGAGGTCTCAGCTGCACAGTTTGTGTCAAAGGCTGGACCCAGGAAAGAGGAGCTGTAGCACTGGCTGAAACGAGGAAAGAAAACGGTGAGAAATCGCTGCATGGGGACCACTCCTCTGAAGCTTCCCCACCTGCTTTGCGTGGGGCTGTCAGCCCTACTAGCCATTCTCTACATTCTAAAAATTCTCCCAGGAATAAGAACTTTCTGGATGACAGGGCATTGTAAGTTGGCATTTGGAAAATGATCCCTGACAGTCTTCTAACCAACAATCATAAAGGGCTGAGCCCACTGAGCTTTGCAATGCACTATTTTAAGATGTACTTTTAAAATGCAGTGGGCGTTCTCTCCTTTTGCACTCACAGAGGGGCATTCACTGGCTCTTTCTTGCCTAGAAAACCCCCCTCCCTTTTAAGTCCTGGAGAGAGCCTTTGGGTGTCAAAACATTACTTCCTTTTCATTTTCGTATTAACAATTGTGCATAGAGAATATATTCATAATATTCATCCCAAATATTCAAAAAACTGTAAAATAAGTGTCTAACTTCTGTTTTCCCCTGCCACCTAGTTCTTCCTGGAAGCAAGTTTCTTGTGTATTTTTCCAGAAATATTCTTTGCATGTATAAGCATGTCTGGTATATGTAATTGTTTTTGTACAAATGGCATACAATACACAATATTCTCCTCTTTGTTTGAAAACTGCTTCATGTCAGTACAAACAGAACTGCCTTATTTGTTCATTTTCACTAGACATTTAAACAGTACCCTGTTTATATACATGTTGGTTATTTTCCATCTTTCCCTATTACAAACTGTGCTTCAGTGACAATCTTTTAAAATATATCATGTGTGGGTAAAATTCCTAGAGGTGAGATTTCTATGTCAAATTTGGATATTTTGATAGATATTTTGTCAAATTGCCCTTCATAGAGATTGTACCAATTTATACGCATAGGTATGGGAGTACCTATTTCCGGTCCGGTGTGGTGGCTCATGCCTGTAATCCCAGCGCTTTGGGAGGCTGAGGCAGGCGGATTGCCTGAGGTCAGGTTCGAGACCAACCTGACCAACATGGCGAAGAAACCTTGTCTCTACTAATACAAAAAAAAAAAAAATTAGCCAGGTGTGGTGACATATACCTGTAGTGCCAGCTACTCTGGGGCTGAGGCAGGAGAATCACTTGAACCTGGGAGGTGGAGGTTACAGTGAGCCGAGATTGCACCACTGCACTCCAACCTGGGTGACAGGGTGAGACTGTGTCTCAAACAAAAGGAGAGGGCCTGTTTCCTCATCCCTTAGCACAGAATATTCCAACTTTTTTACCTATCCCAACTGATAGGTTAAAAAATGATACCTTATCATAATTTTAATTTGGTTTCATCTTTATCAAATGTCGAACATCTTTGCCTATGTTTGAGAGCCACTTGCATGTTCTGTTCTGTGAACCATGTTCTCTGCCTGTTTTCTATCACATTGCTGTTTGACTTGTTGAACTCTACATATCAGGGAAAATTGCGTTTTGTCAATGTATATATGGGAGGAGTTTTTCCCCAATTTGTTTCTTCTTCCCTCCATACTTACAGTGTTTGTTTTATACAGAAGTCTTTCCAGTTTTATGTTTTTGAATTTACCTTTTCATTCTTGGCCTCTAGAAAGTTTATCATTTAGATAATATTTCCCTTGAAATTATGAAAAATTTTCACGATATATTCTACTCAAAGATTTATTATTTTGTGCTGAGTATTTATATCTGCAATCCAGCCAGAATTTATTGTAGTGATGAGATAAGTAGGGCTCCACTGATATCTTTTTCCAGCTGGCTCTCTGGTAGATGCAACACCATTTATTGGGCCAGGAATTCAGGCACAGGTGAGCAGGATCCTCTGTTTTAGGGTCTTTCACAAAACTGCGATGACAGTGTCAGCCAAGCCTGGGGTTTCACTGAAGGCTCAACTGGAGAAGGACTTGCCTTCAAGTTCACATGGTTGTTGGCAGGATTCAGTTCATTGTTGCTTGTCAGGTGGAGGAACTCAGCTCCTTCCTAGCCTTCTCTCAGGGGGCTCCCTGAGTTTCTTGCTACATGGGCCTCTCCACATTGGCAGCTTCATCAAAGCCAGCAGGGGCAAAATCAATGGAGTCTTCTAGCAAGATGGAAGTTACAGTCTTACCTAAAGTAATCACAGAAGTGACCTTCCATCTCCTATACCATGTTCTATTGGTAGAAGCAAGTCACAGGTTCCATTCCCACTCAAGGGGAGGAGATTATACAAGGTGAGAACGCTAGGAGGTGGGTATATCAGTCTATTCTCACACTGCTATAAAGAACTTCCCTGAGACTGGGTAATTTATAAAGGAAAGAGGTTTAATTGACTCATAGTTCTGCATGACTGAGGAGGCCTCAGGAAACTAAAAATCATGATGGAAGGCAAAGGACAAGCAAGCACCTTCTTCACAAGGTGGCAGGAGAGAGCGAAGGGGGAAGAGCCCCTTATAAAACCATCAGATCTCATGAGAACTCACTCACTATCATGAGAACAACATGGGGGAAACCACCTTCATGATCCAATCACCTTCCACCAGGTCCTTCCCTCAACACCTGGGGATTACAATTTGCGATGAGATTTGGGTGGGGACACAGAGCCTAACTATATCAGTGGGGCTCATTGGGAGCCATGTAGCCTGTCTGCCATAATCCACACACTGGCCCCCAGTGATCCATGTCCTTCCCATATGCAAAATACATCTACCCCATCTCAAGTCCTCCAAAAGTCTTATTCCATTACAGAGCCACTTTGAAGGCCAAAACCTCATCATCTAAATCAGGTCCAGGTGTACGGATGAGGGTCCTCAGGTGTAACTCATTAAATCCAGCTCCTGGAGCACAATTCCTCTTCCTGCAGACTTGCAAAACTATGAAATGAAAAAAAAAAAAAAAAATGAAACAAGTTGTTTGCCTCACACACCCAACGTACAATGGTGGAACAGGAGAAGGATAGCAGCTAGAGGCATTCCTATTCAAAAAGGAAGAAAACGGGAGGTACACAGGAGTCACTGGTTCATGACAACACACAGATTTAGGTTTGTTCAAAATGTCCATAGCTCAATTGCAGTATTACTCTATTTTGTCCATTCATTTTTTCTTGCTCCTCTCTTTTTACACACACACACACACAGAGTTCATTTTATGTTACTCTTCTTCTCTTCTTTTAACCAGCATCATCCTTTGCCTTATTTTTGTTGTTGTTGTTTTTTGTTTTTGTTTTTTGGAGAGATGGGATCTCACTGTGTTTCCCAGGCTGGTCTCCAACTCCTGGGCTCAAGTGATCCTCCCACCTCTGCCTCCCAGACAGCTGAGATTACAAGCATGAGCCACCATGCCCAGCCAATCACCATTATCATCACTTTATGCTTACTAAGTTCTAGGTAACTTTCTAACTGTTAACATTTATTAACTTACTTAACCCTCACAACAACCCTATGAGTGTAGGTACTATTATTATCCCATTTTTACATAAGAGCAAACTGAAATAGAGACAGGCTAAACAACTTTCCAAGAACATACAACTAGTAAGGGCAGAACCAGACATGAGATGGGTATTCCCAGAAGAGCAACAGGTAGGAGGTTTCAGTGAAGGAGGGACTAAACTAGTGTTCTCCGCTGGCAAAAATTCTTTTTGGTTCCTTGTAACACAAGGGTGTGGGTGTGTCTGGTATATGTGTGATACCCTTTCTGTTCCTAGTCAGCAGCAATCAACAACTGTGAGACTGTTCACAAGTCACAGGTAATTTTTTCCTACTTTGCTTCCCTGACAGACTGTTTCCCACAACTAGAGCAAGATTGTGTGTTCTTCATGTAATCTCACCTCCCCCTACCACTCCTCAGTGCCCCCTGGAAACTCCTGCAGCCAGCCTAAGCATCCTGTGCCCATCACTTCTAACCAGGGAGTGTTGAGTGCCCCCTCATGATACACCATGTAGGAGAATGTGTCTGGGACTCAAGCTGCAGGTTGAGCCTGTCAATCTTTGGACTTCTTATTATATGAGTTAATACATTTCCTTATTGTAGAAACCATTCTGAGTCAGTTTCTGTGTTTTTCTTATGTTAGCTTTTTTGTTGTAACTTCTACATTGGATTAATTACAATCATTTATTTTTGCGGATATTCAAAACTAGTAGTAGGTCTCATTACCTTATGAATGAGTTCATAGTTCATCCAGGACTCTAAACTATCAGAAGATGCGATTAGCTTCAAAACAGGCAGCAACAGCATTGCCTGGGGAAAGCTACCCTTGTAGTAACTGTCATACTCCAGAAGCAGGGACAACCCACAATATTGCTTTCAGATACCCATCCTTACTGCCCACCGCCTGTCCTATCTGTCTGTTTGCATGTCTGTCATCCACCACTGGAGTGTGTGGAGTGCTGTGGGGTGGAAATTGGCTTCTCCCCATCCAACATCTTACTATAGTGCCTGCCTGTCCCTTAAGAATGAACAGATGAATACCAGGTGTGAAACACCCAATGTTTCTTTCCAAATTTCACAGTGATTCCAAAGGCCCTTAGCATGCCCTAGGGATAAAAACTGAAATCCAAGTGGCATCCTGAGTAAAGAAATGAAGGCTGGGTGGAGTGGAGACTTCTCTCTATATTCAAAGCCCATTGCTCCTGTGGAGGGCAGAGGAAATGTTATAACAGAGTCCCCCCACTCCCAGCTTAATTACTCCTTGTGTTGTATGTGCTAAATTGGTTGGATGTTGGTTGTTTCTAAAAGTCTGAGTGGTCCTTAGTGCTCTTCTTCCCGCAATGAAAAGTAAAGAAGCTTTTGTGCTTCAGGCCCAGCACAGAGGATGATGTAAGTGAGCCTTCAGGAGGATGGCAGAGTGGCTGGAGCTTGGAGCAAGGTCCATGGCAGGGTAGCTGGGAAGGGGTAGCTTTCACAGGCTTTCTGGAAGTGACAAAGACAGGACTCCATTTGCACACAGATGAAATGATGCTGGATTTTGAGTGAGCTCTAAATCCAATGACTGGTACCCTTCTAAGAGGAGAGGGAGATTTGAAACACAGAGACACATAAAGAGCAGTCTGTGTGCAGGTGGAGGCAGTAATGGGAGTTTTGCTGCCACCAACCAACGAACACCCGAAGCCACCAGAAGCTGAAAGAGGCAAGGAAGGATCCTCCTGTCAGGCCTCAGAGAGAGAGAGGCACTGCCAACACCTTCATTTCACACTTTCGGCCTCCAAAACCATGAAAGAAGACATTTCTGTGGTTTTAAATCACCCAGTTCGTGGTAATTTGTTAAGGCACCCTTAGCAAACTAACACGGGATACGTCTGTATCAGAGACCCCCATCCCTTGGGCCTCTGATTATAAGTGGTCAAAAAGGATCATTTCCATTATTTACCTAACAATTGATGACTCAGACCATTTTTTCATATTGCTAACCTCATGTGTAACTTTTTAAAAATAACCTGCAGGCCTGGCACTGTGGCTTATGCCTGTAATCCCAACGCTTTCTCAGGCGGGAGGATTGCTTAAGGTCAGGAGTTTAAGACCAGCCTGGCCAACATGGCAAAACCCTATCTCTATAAAAATACAAAAATTAGCTGGGCGTGGTGGCTCTCACGCCTGTAATCCCAGCTACCTGGGAGGCTGAGGCAGGAGAATCGCTTGAACCTGGGAGGCAGAGGTTACAGTGAGCCAAGATCACGCCACTGCACTCCAGCCTGAGCAACAGAATGAAAATCTGTCTCCAAAAAAAAAAAAAAATTAGCTCGGCATGGTGGTGTGCACCTGTGGTCCCAGCTACTCAGGAGGCTGAGGTAGAAGGATTGCTTGAACCTGGGAGTTGAAGGCTGCAGTGAGCCGTGATAGTGACACTGCACTCCAGCCTGTGCTACACAATAAGACCCTGTCTCAAAAAAATAAAATTAAAAAATAAACACAACCCTGCTTATAAATGCTGAGAATTCTCTCTAAATTCGGGGTATACAAGAAGGAGTATCATTTGATGCCTCTGGTGATAGGGACTAGATTAGAGGAACAAAGCATTAGATTAGAGGACAGAAGCATTTTTGTCCTCATGCTGTTTAAGTTTTTTTTTTTTTATCTTATGCCTTTCTTTATTTAAACACACACAAACACACAGTTAAAGAAAAAAATGGCATAGAATTCCTATTGCTTCTATAAACTGTGATGTAGCTGTCACCGAGTTACATAAAAGCATCTTTTAACCACCAATTGCTTAATCAAAATCAAACTATTAATTTGTTTATATAAAGAACTGTGGTATTACTATTAACAGTTTTGCATATGAAATATTGGTGCTTTGTTATGTTGCTACTGCCTGAAGCCTGTTTGCAAATCAAATATATTCTTTCTTCACTTATTTAATTTCTTTGTTATAACTTTGTTTGAATTGTGAGGGTACCTTTGTACCTTCTGTAATGTGGTTGAATAAAAGTGAAGGCAGGCTGTAATGATTGTTACAATTAGTCTCCTTTAAAAAAATAAAAATTAAAAAAAAGACAGGGATCCCAGGACACAGGCCATTTTAGGTTGCTTATTTTTTTACCAAATGGAAAACTGAGATAGGCTTACCTGTGAATGTGAAGTTTAAAGATAATGATCATTACTACATCTGTCAGTATTTCTGGAGACCCAAAATAAAACTGCAGTCATTAATGCTCATTCATTCTTTCTTTCATTCAAATGTATTGCCTGCATGTGCTTTGTAATGTGTTAGAGGCTAAGGATTTATAAAAGCCATAAGGTGGGAACCTGCTCTCAAGAGGGCGACGAACCTGTAACTGGGTATATATGTATGATTCACACTGATGGGAGCAATAGTAGCACGCAGCAACCCACGTGGAAGGGGTGAATCGCTGTGTTTGGGAGCTTCAAGAGGACACCTTATGTGGTAAAAGTCATAGGGATGATTAATGTTGTTAATGGATCCATGATGGACTCTATTACAATTCCATAACCATACTTCCAGGTCATCTAAACAGACAAGTTTTTTCCTCTTACGCTGTCAACTTCTTTGATTATTGGTAGTGTCTATTTCTTTTTTTTTTTTTAAGACAGAGTCTCACTCTGTTGCCCAGGCTGGGGTGCTGTGGCATGATCTTGGCTCACTGCAAGCTCTGCCTCCCTGGTTTAAGCGATTCTCCTGTCTCAGCCTCCTGAGTCACTGGCATTACAGGCCTATGCCACCACGCCCAGTTAATTTTTTTTATTTTTAGTAGAGATGGAGTTTCACCATGTTGGCCAGGCTGGTCTCGAACTCCCAACCTCAAGTGATCCGCTCACCTCAGCCTCCCAAAGTGCTGGGATTACAGGCGTGAGCCACTGTGACCAGCCGGTACTGTCTATTTCTAATGTGCTCTTAGCAACTTTCAAAGACCTGACTGGGTTCATTTACATACATTATGGAAGGATGACAACATCAAATACGAGGAATAAATTGGAAGCAGAGAGAGGTTTCACTGTAAGGAAAGTAAAACAAAGAAGCTATACATTTTGAAATTAAAATTTTACATTTTCAGCCAATTCAGTTATTTAGTGATTTGGTCCATGCACTGCACTACACTTGACAATTTTCACTGTGAAGAGCTGAAGCCATTCAGAGTAGTGTGGGTCTTTCAAGAGTTTAGTCTATTACTTAGTGCAAACCGATCTTGCTGACGGACATTATTTACATGCTATGGCAGAGATGCAGCTGCTTCCTTACCATGTTCTCTTCTTCCTGAGCTCATGGCTAGACCACATGCCCCAGCCCCTCTGATGGGGAGGAGTGGCCATGTGGCTGAGTCCAGCCAATGGAATGAGCTGAAGTGATGTGTGCCACTTCCAGGTCTGCCTCATTACAACTTCCCATGCTTCATCTTCTTTGCTCTTTGCAGCTGGCTGGAATGAAGATGACCCCCAGGGCAACCCTGAAAGCTTGAAAGCCACCAGTTATAAACAGCAGAGCCTCCGTCAGCCCGGGTGCCCAAATGAAGGAGGCACTCTGCTGGCCTGTGAGGTGCACCTGGTACTGTTACCTGAACAAGAAATAAACTCTACGGTATTTGAGCCATCATACATTTTAAGGTCAGTTTGGTACCGTGGCTGGCTTTTCCTAACTTACATACTTGCCTAGCAAAATTTTTCTCTTTTGTTTTTCTTTGCAGGGGGGTGGACAAAAGAAAGGATAAGTTGAGGGAAATGTACTTATAATATGTATGCCAGATACCTTTCATTTGCCACTCTAGACCCGAGCTCCCTCCTTCTGTATCCTGAAGACTGACCCACATCTCTGGGCCTCTGAGCCCTCTGACTGCTGGGAAATGAGAAGGAGGGAGGAGGAGGAGGTCAGAATATTTCTTGCCCTAGTTTGCTCCCTGTGAGATCTGTCGGGCTGGCTACGTCTCCTAACAGAAGTTCACTGCTCCTCTCCACTGGCCTGTTTCACACAGCTCTCTGGCTCCTGGATTCAGGCATGGGTTCCCTGCCCTTGTCCCTTTGGGCCTAGGGCTGTGGTGTCGGCCAGGCTGCTACAAACCCGGTTACTGCAGCATCCCTTACAGGGACTTTGCCCTATGCCCAACTTTGTCATGTCCCTCTGTAAATAAACCTTCCTAGAATTGTCCTCCGCCGAGTGTGCATCTGCTTTCTGTTAGCACTCTGACCAAGACAATCATTCTCTGTCTTCATTCTCAAAAATACTAATACCAAATATTGCACATAGTATATTTCCAGAACCTAGCAAGCCTGTTGTACATTTTAGGGCAATCAGAAGCAATCACAAGCAATAATTCACAGGCAAATTATTACATCTCCCTCTTTCAGTGGTACCTTGAATTTTCAGCATCTCCAGGTTCACTTATCTTCACAACCCAAACCTAACATGTAAGTCCCCTTAGTGTCTAGATCAGAATCCAGCTTCCTTAGCCTGGCATTCAATGCCCTTCATAATCTGGTCTCCGTCTCCTATCCTCCCATGGTCATTTCCTTGCCCTCCCCTTACTTCTCCCCCACCCCACAAGGCAGGAGGATGGTGACTGTGACCCTGTCTCTGGAATTCCCTCCCACCTTCCTTTTCACTTTACTCCTGGTGGTCTTAGAAAACTCAGCTTACCTGTCCTGCTGAAAAACTCTTTCCCCGTTGCCTACACCCCCGACACGCCCCTCACCACCCACACATCTATTCACCTTCAAAGGCTGCAGTAGTCGCTTCTCTGCTGTCCCGTGACGGGCCTACCTGTGCCTGCCCGCCTGCCCCAACTCCTGGACTGTGTTTCTCTAAAGGACTGGGATGGGCTACTCTTTATGTTTGACTCTTCATACTCGGTACTTGGCAAATGTTTACTGAATGCACACACCTCCAGTGGTTTTAGGCTTTTGTTAAAAACTTGCAAGAACACTGTAATTCCTGTGGAGGACATGGATAAAGCAGGGATAAGGAGAGGGGCATGTCCTTTTTTTCCCATTCGCTTCTCTACATGAGCTGGAGACTTGGGAGAAGAGCCCTGCTTCTCTTCCGGAGTTTCTGAGCCTCTGTCTTCCCCATGGAATGAAGAAATAAACCATCACCCCTGCCTTTAACGTGATCCACTCACCACAGATTCCCATTGACTAGAAACTGAATTACTGAAGTTTGTCTCATACACATGTATTTTTTAAATTTAGTTTTTTGTTTTTGGTTTTTGGTTTTTGTGTTCTTTGTTGTTGTTTTTGTTTGTTTGTTTGTTTGTTTTTTGAGACAGAGTCTTGCTCTGTTGCCCAGACTGGAGTACAATGACACGATCTCAGCTTACTGCAACCTCCACCCCCTGGGTTCAAGTGATTCTCCTGCCTCAACCTCCTGAGTAGTTGAAGTTAGGTTACAGGTGCCCGCCACCACGCCCGGCTAATTTTTTTTTTTTTTTTTTTTTTTTTTTTTGAGATGGAGTCTCACTCTGTTGCCCACACTGGAGTGCAGTGGCGTGATCTCGGCTCACTGCAACCTCTACCTCCTGGGTTCAAGCAATTCTCCTGCCTCACCCTCCTGAGTAGCTTGGACTACAGGCACTGACCACCATGCCCAGCTAGTTTTTTTGTATTTTTAGTAGATGGGGTTTCACTATGTTGGCCAGGCTGGTGTCGAACTCCTGACCTCAGATGATCCAGCTGCCTCAGCCTCCCAAAGTTCTGGGATTACAGGCATGAGCCACCGTGCCTGGTCTAATTTAGATTCTTAAATAGGTAACATGTTGTCATGGGTCAAAACCAAAAAATATAAAAAATTATACAGTGAAACCCACCCTAACCCATGGCTCCCATTTTCCCAGTTCCTTCACTCCATAGGTAACCATTCTTCTTAATTTCTTACATATACTTAGTTCCAGAGCTGTTTAAAACACATAGAAGCAAATTATGAATATGTATCCTTAAGTGTCTTTTTTTTTTTTTTCTTTTTTCGATACAAGGTCTTGCTCTGTTGCCCAGGCTGCAGTGCAGTGGTTCAATCATGGCCCACTTCTACCTTCCCTTCCCAGGCTCAAGTGATCCTCCCAGCTCAGCCTCCCAAGTAGCTGGGACCACAGGTGCACACCACCACACCTGACTAATTTTTTATTTTTTGTAGAGACAGGATTTCACCATGTTGCCCAGGCTGGTCTCCAGCTCCTGGGCTCAAGTGATCCACCCACCTAAACCTCCCAAAGTGTTGGGATTATAGACGTAAGCCACCACACCCTGCCCATTCTTACATTTCTGCCTTCTTTACCAAAGCATGACATACTCTTTTTTTAACTGAATATTTTTTAAATATGTTTTGGAAACCTTTCCTTACCTGTTGCTTCCTAATTCTTTTGAACAGCTCCATAGTATTCCATCATCTGGATGTATCATAATTTATTTAACAAAACCTTTATTAATAGACATTTGAGTGACTTCTAATATTTTCTGAAAATAGTGCTTAAATGACACATTTAATTTTGATATAATGCCATATAATTCAATGTATAAATCTTTTAACTTTTTGTACATTTCAAAAAGTGTTTCTTTTAATCAGTGGGCCAACCAATATGTGACATCTGCTAAAGGATAAATTAAGGTTAGACAATAGATCAATAGCCTGAAAAATTATTCAACTTAATGAGTTCATTTCTGGGCATTTATCCATAAGAATGTTGCAAGATAGAGCAGAGTATGAGTTCATTTCAATGGAGCAGGCGGCGTATGTGTAAACTTCCTAGCTTCTGCCAAGGTCACTTAAACAAAGCAGCATTCCAGAGTTCTTGGGGAAAAAGCTCACTCATTTTGGTACTTTTGATGACCAGTAATATTTTAAACTGTATTGGAGATGCTCATGCAACAGAGGTTTATAAAAAGGAGAAAGGCTCAGCATGTCTATCCACAACCGGTGTACCATTGGCCTTTTGAGGAAGGTATGCATCAGTTTCAAAACTTGCCTCATTCCAGAGGCTGAGAGGTCACTTGGTGGTTTTCTGACTGTTCCCCAGTACAGAACAGACAAGTACAGGATTCTCTATGTTTATCTTGTGCATACGTGATGCTGTGGAGACTGACATCCCATTTGACCAAAGGAGAAATTCCATCCAGCCACCCTCCTGTGCAGCCTGTTTGGCAGGGCCTGGTTGGCAAGGCTGCCTAGTGAGGAGAGCCCTCAGGCATGGGGTGTGCTACCTCTGCCAGAGGACAGAGTGATGAGTTGGAAAGGGCCAGTCGAATACTACTGAGACTTACCACCAGCTTATAAAAGCACATTTCCTCAAAGGGGGCTAATAGGGGCATTATGAAGCTGCTTAGCCCAAATAATACCTGGGCTCAAGAACACACCTGTAAGACACAGACTCACCTCCCATCAGGGTGACTGGCCCTCCAGACCCACTGAAGAAGATCCAACTGCGGACACTCAGTGAGGCCATGCTACCCTTGACCAAAGCTTTCTTGCAGGGTCCAGAGGCGTAAACTCATTTAAAGCCAAGAGACGTGAGATGCTCTACGTGCCTGAGCTCTTTACATGTATATCTTATACTTACCAATATGAAGATTATTTTCTGAGTAAAGGAAATAGGAGAAAAGAAAAAGTTGCAGGTAAAATTAGAGGTCTAAGTTAGAGGAAACTGTTGCTAAGAAACATAGGTTTAAAAACGCTTTTATGCATAGTTTTTACAAACATTGGGTTTATTTGGAGTGCTAGCCTTCCTAACCCTTTTTGAGTTTCTGGTAACGATATATATCTATTTTACAGGTTTCTGGAATGCTTTTCCATCAACTTACTCCACCTCTTCTGATCTAACCAGTCGTCAGTTTGGAAACCCTAAGTTGGATGACCTCTATTACACTTCTGATATTTATTAGGTAAACATTTTTAAGTATATTGCTGTTTGCCTTTGTGTTTATTTTCTGCCATAAGTTTTCAGTGGCTACCTATGAGGTAGGCACAGTTTCAGTCACTGGGCATGGATCAGTGAGCAAAACTGGCAAAATCATGTTTCTGACAATTTCTACTGAAGGATGTAGTGGTAGATGAATGACATTTTATATGACAAATAATTGAACGTGGTTTAGTCCAATAAACTTAATTCTAGTGCTTCTCGAGTTCAAAGCCCTGAGCTTGGCATATGGTTCTGAAAGAAAAGTGAACTTTTCTGTTGGCTGCTTTTCCTTTTCTCCTTTCTTCCCCTTCAGTTGTCCCAGAAATCTCCTTGACCTTTCCCCAACACAGAGACAGACACATACCACTTATCTTTGTCCTATATTTAATCTAAATACGGTATTAACTATATCTCAATTCTGTGATTTTCTCCCATAGTCTAAGTATTTTACTTTTGTGCTTGGGAGAGTTCTATCTACTACAAAGTGAAGGCCCTGGTAGGCAGATGTTACACACACAGACACACACACACATGCACACACACGTCTTTGTTAACTCATGACTGAAACTATATGCAATTAAGTGCTTAAAAATTTTTACTGTGACAATATCTGTATGTTTCAGTTATCTATTGCTGTGTAGCAAAAAAACCCAAAACATAGTGGCTTAAAACAACAATGATTTGTCAGCTCAAGATTCTGTGGATCAGAAATTTGGACTGGGCTGAGCTGGCTGGTCCTTTTGCTTCATGTAACATTAGCTGGGCTCACTCATTGAGCTGCATTCAGCTGTGAGTTTGGCCAGGACTGGAATGTTCCAAGTGTCTTCAGTCTTCTCTCCAGTTGCCTGTCTCCCATAGAATGGGATTTTCACATGGCAGCTGGCTTCCAAGATGGAGACCCAGCCTTGGAAATTATACCACATCACTTCTGCTACATTTTATTTGTGAAAGCAGGTCCCAGGGCCAGCCCAGATTCCAGGGGAGAGGAAACATATTCCCGTCCTGTTGGGGGAGTGGGGGGAGTGGCAGAGTCACAGTGTAATAGATTGTGCAAGATGGGAGATGGTGTTGCAGCCCTCTTTGGAAACATGAGCTACCACACTATATAGACTTATTTTATGTTAGTTGGTAATTTAATATAAATCCCAGTCTAGGCAGTAGTAATGAATCTGGCATTAGTTTGTTTTCTCCCTGTATGTCCATCTCCTCATTAATTAATACATTATCTGGTAAAGAATGTCTCAAGTTATAATCCTGAGTTCTGTGTGTATCAGTCAGTGTTTTTGGTTCCAAGGCATATGAAGCAATTCTAGCTAGCTTAAGCAGAAAAGTTTTGTTGTGTTGTTGGTTTATCAAGTAGCTTACAGAAGGTACGAAGGTTAAATAAGTAAACTCGGAATATGGGCAGACTCTAAGGAAGGCTGGGCAGGAAGGCATAGCCACAGTGATATCACAAGGACACTGGACAGGGCACTGCTGCTGGTGCTGTACACACTGTGCAATAGGCACTGTTTCTGCAGAGCTGTCAGCACCACCATTCCTCAGCCTGCAGGGTTGATTTTTCTTCTCCTTGATGGCTCCAAGTCCTGGATAGGAATAACCAATTCTATTTGCTCCTTTATCTACCAGGAAGTGGAGAGAGGGTCCTTTCAACTTGAAAGGTTGGGGCTGAGGGTATTCTACCTCCTACCAAGACTTACATTATGGAGTACTGTCCCCAAATACAAAGAGCTATCTAGTCTTGTACATTCAGCAGTCATTGCCAAAAACAGTAAATTGTCATGATCTGGCTCCTGCTACCTCTCTGACCTCAACTTCTACTCACTCTGTTCTAGTCTCAGTGCAAAACACCAGACATGTTCCTGCCTTGGGACCTTTGCATATGCTCTTTTCATCTCTGAAATACTCTTCCCCAAACATCTGTGTGGCTCCCTTTCTCACCTTATTCAAGTCTCTACACACATATTGCCTTCTCATAACACTGTACTGCAGCCATTCTATTTAAAATTGTAAACCTGAGAGGGAGGCAGGGCAAGATGGCTGAATAGATGCCTCCAGCGATCATCCCCTACCCCACAAAAACATCACATTTAACAGCTATCCACACACACCGAAAAAAGCACTTTCATAAGAACCAAAAATCAGGTGAGCAATCACAGTCCCTGGTTGTAACTTCATATTCCTGAAAGAGGCACGGAAGAGGGTACAGAGACCATCTTGAATTGCCTCCACCACCCATTCCCCATCCCCTGGCAGTGGCCACATGGTGCAGAGAGAGAATCTGTGTGCTCAGGGGAGGAAGAGCACAGTGACCGTGGGACTTTGCATTGGAACTCAGCGCTGTCTGGTCACAGCAGAAAGCAACCCAGGGCAGAAGTCAGCCAGCACCCAGCAGGGAGCCTTTAGACCAGCCCTAGCCAGAGTGGACTCATGCATCCCAGTGGTTGGAACCTGAGTTCTGGCAAGCCCTGCCACTGCAGGCTAACATGCTCTGGGGTCCTGAATAAACTTGAAAGGCAGTCTAGGTCAGGGGTCCTTAATCCCTGGGCCATGGACTGGTACCAGTCCATGGCCTGTTAGGAACCCGGCCACACAGGAGGAGGTAAGCGGTGGCCGAGTAAGCATTACCGCCTGAGCTCCACCTCATGTCAAATCAGCGGCAGCATTAGATTCTCATAGCAACGTGAACACTATTGCAAACCATACAACAAGGGATCTGGGTGCACGCTTTTTATGAGAATCTAACTAATGCCTGACAGTCTGAGGTGGAACAGTTTTATCCCGAAACTTTCTCCCACCTCTGGTCCACGGAAAAAATGTCTTCCATGAAACCAGTCCCTGGTGCCAAAAAGACAGGGGACTGCTGGTTTAGGCCACAAGGACTGTAATTCCTGGGCAGGTATTGGTGCTGTGCTAGGCTCAGAGTCAGTGGACTTGGGGTACATACAACCTAGTGAGACACAGCTTGGGGGTTTAAGGAGTGCTTGAGTCACCCTCCCCCAACCCAGGCAGTGCAGCTCCCAGCTCCAGGAGAGACTCCTTACTTCCATTTGAGCAGAGAGGGAAGAGTAAAGAGGACTATCTTGCAACTTGGATACCAGCTCAGCCACAGCAGGACAGGGTAACAGGTAGAGTCCTGAGGTCCCTATTCCAGGCCCTAGTTCCCAGATGACATTTCTAGACACCCCTGGGCCAGAAAGGAACCTGCTGCCTTAAAGGGAAGCACCCAATCATGGCAGGATTCATCATTCGCTGACTAAAGAGCCCTTGGGCTCCAAATAATCAGCAGTGGTAGCGAGGCAGAACTTGCTGTGGGCCTTGGGCAGAACTCAGAGCCATGCTAGCTTCAGGTGTGACCCAGCACATTCCCAGCTGTGGTGGCTATGGGGAGATGCTCCTTCTGCTTGAAAAAAAGTGAAGGAAGAGTAAAGCGGACTTTGTCTTGCAGCTTGAGTACCAGCTTGGCCCCAGTGGAGTAGAAGGCCAAGCCAGCTGCTGCGATCCTCGATTCAAGGCCTTGGCTACTGGAAGACATTTTTAGACCCACCCTAGGTCTGAGGATGAGACCACTACCCTGAAGGGGAAACTGAGGCCTGGCAGCATTCAACAAACTGACTGAAGAGACCTTGGGCCTTCAGTGAACATTGGTAGGAGTCAGGTAGGGCTCACTGTGGGCCTGGAACAGTGGTGGCCGTGGGGAAAGACTAACTTGTTGAGGAAAGGGGAAGGAAGAGTGAGAAGAACTTTATCCTGTGGCTTGGATCCACGGCACCAGGTAAATTCCTAGGGTTCATGACTCCAGGCCCTGGCTCCCAGGCAGTATATCTGGACCTGTCCAAGGCAGAAGAAGTTACCTCCTTGAAGGGAAAAACACAAGCCTGGATGGATTCACCACCTGCTGATTATAGAGCTCTTGGGCCTTGAGTGAACATAGGCAGTAGCCAGGCAGTGGACACTGAAGGCAGAACAGCACTGGGTCTCACAAGCTTGGTCTCATAGCTCTGCACAGAGAGAGAGAGAGAGAGACTCTGTTTGTTTGGGAGAAAGTAAGGGAAGAGAACAAGAGTCTCTGCCTGGTAATCCCAGGAATTCTCCCAGATCTTATTCAAGACCACCAAGATGGTACCTCTATGAGTCTACAAGAACCATGGCATTACTGGGCATGGGCGTACCCCCTAACACAGGTACAGCTGCAGTGACCAAAGACAGGTCACAACACCCAAGTCCCTTGGAAAGCCTTCCCAAGAAGCAAAAGTCCAAACAAGCCTAGATTGGGAAGAATACAATAAGTTCCTAACCCTTCAATGCCCAGACACTGACAAATATCTACAAGCATTAAGACCTTTCAGGAAAATATGACTTCACCAAACAAACTAAATAAGACACTAGTGACCAGTCCCAGAGAGACCAAGATATGTGACCTTTCAGACAGAGAATTCAAAACAACTGTTTTGAGGAAGCTCAAAAAAATTCAAAATTACACCGAGAAGGAATTCAGAATCCAACCAGATAAATTTAACAAAGAGATTGAAATAATTAAAAAGAATCAAACCGAAATTCTGGAGCTGAAAAATGCAACTGGCATATGATGAATGCATCAGAGTCTTTTAATAGCAAAATTGATCAAGCAGAAGAAACAATTAGTGAGCTTGAAGACAAACTATTTGAAAATGCACAGTAAGAGGAGATAAAAGAATAAAGAAGAACGAAGCATGACTACAAGATCTAGAAAACAGCCTCAAAAGAAAGAGATTGGGGCAGAAAGTTTAATCAAAGGAATAATAACAGAAAACTTCCCAAAAAAGATATCAATATTCAAGTACAAGAAGGTTGTAGAGCACCAAGCAGATTTAACCCAAAGAAGACTACCTCCAGCGTTTAATAGTCAAACTCCCAAAGCTTAAGGATAAAGAAGGGATCCTAAAGGCAGCAAGAGAAAAGAAACAAATAACATACTAAAGAACTCCAGTACATCTGGCAGCAGACTTCTCAGTGGAAATTTTATAGTCCCGGAGAGAAAGGCCTGACGTATTTAAAGTGTGGAAGGAAAAAAACTTTTACCCTAGAGTAGTATATCTGGTGAAAATATTCCACAAACATGAAGGAGAAATAAAGACTTTCCCAGAAAAACAAAAGCTGAGGGATTTTATCAATACTAGACATGTGCTACAAGAAATGCTAAAGGGAATTCTTCAATCTGAAAAAAAGGACATCGATGAGCAATATGAAATCACCAGAAGTACAAAACTCACTGGTAATAGTAAGTACACCAAAAAAAAAAAAAAAAAAAAACCCCAGAATATTATAACACTGTAATTGTGGTGTGTAA